AAACTGGGAACCTGGCTCAAGAGGTTGGGCTCGCCTAAACTGCTAGGCTTGCCCGATTTGAGCGGTTTGCCAAAATCGGGAACCTGGCTCAAAGAGATGGGCTCGCCTAAACTGCTAGGCTCGCCTGATTTGAGCGGTTCGCCAAAAATGGGAACCTGGCACAAAAGGTTGATTCCCCCAAGCTTGAATAATAATTCAGGCTGTCGTGGGGGATGAGGGATTGCGCCTCGAGACGAGCGAGAGCTTTTCGTCGCCGCTGTTTGGATCTTTTTGAACGAGGAGCGTTCATGTCGACGACGGAGGCGTATTCTGCGTCGACACAAATGGTTGATTCCTCTTGCACAGGGGTCTGCGAGGATCGTTCATCGACCCATTCAGCAGCCCCTAGACCTGCATTCTCGAATCTCGGCTCGGCCTCAACTGGTTCGGGGGGAAAAGAACCCCCTGCCTCGGCTTGGGTAGATCCCTCAGGCTTGGTTGCCTCAGCCTCTTGGGGCTGGGCCACCCGCACGACTCTGCAACCATCGCGAGATGTATTGCTGCGAGAAGAGGACGATTGTAAGTACCCTTCGAATTTGATCACAAGGGACTCAACAGTAGTCCCTGCAGCAACTTCGTCAGACTGCGCCACCACCAATTCATCTGAATGAACGGATTCTCCCACTGTGGTCGCCATCTTCTGTAGGGTGAAAATTTGATTCTTCCGAAGAAAGGAGTTTCGTTTGTATTTATAAGAAAGCTTATTACAAACTAACAAATCAAATGTTTACAACAGAAGCAGAGGGAAGGCCCTCTTTGTTTTGTGTGGGGACTTTAGGTGGCGATAGGATGCCTCGCTCGGTGCTCGTGCCGAGTCTGCTTCCCTTGGACGATCCGATCGAAGTTGCTGCCGGAGCTTCGGTTCTCAAATGAGGGAGCCTTTGGCAAAGGTCCAGGTTCAACCTTTGGGAGATTAGCCAGCAGAATATGCAACGGCCAATCCCCCTTCTTCATGCTGCTGAAGATGGGTTTTAACAGGCAAGGGATGGCATGGGCTATCCCTTGATTCATGGGATTTGACCACTAATAGAGGTGAGGGAGATAGCTTGACTGCTCCTTGAATTATGGGATGTGACCACACGTTGTTCGGAGACGTCCTGCTGTTCATTCGTACCGTCAATGGTCATTCGAAGAGCTGTGCTCTGCATCACGCTACATAGGAGTGGGAAAGCCCCTCCTCGTATGCGTGACAACGGCTGTCAGATGCTTGCGTGGATCTGACCAACCACCGAGCGTTGGCGGCTCTCGTCCCTTCACCTGGACAACTGAGGTGAGCCGCATTTATGAGGGTGCAGGCTGTTTCGGCGCCTGTCCGCTCATTCGTACTGTGGACGGCCATCTGACGGGCCTGGAGTATTGTGCCCTCTCCCTTGATTTGTGGGATTTGACCACTGATGTAACTGTTCCCATACTCCAAGTGGGCAGTTGACAGTGAGCTGGCGAGTCTGCAGCTTGGGTCTGCAGGCGAGCTTAGGACTGCAGGCAGACTTGGGTCTGCAGGCGAGCTTGCAGGCGAACTGGGTCTGCAGGTGAGTTTGGGACTGCAGGCGGACTTGGGTCTGCAGGCGAGCTAGCAGGCGAACTGGGTTTGCAGGCGAGCTCAGGTGCGCAGGCAGACTTGGGGTCTGCAGGCGGATTTGAGACTGCAGGCGAATTTCGAGCTGCAGGTGAGCAGGCAGACTTGGGTCTGCAGGCGGATTTGGGACTGCAGGCGAATTTGAGCTGCAGGCGAGCTCCTGAGCATGGATTGAAGAATAGGCCGTAACTTTCAAACCGTAAGTCGGAATTGGACGAATTATATATGAAAATCGCCTATCTCGACGAGATGGAGCCATCCGAACCAAGCCGAAGGCTTCGGTTCGCTTCCTCCGTTTTGCCAAATTCCTTACGGTTTGGGAGATATCTGCGTTTTCCCCTTTTTCTGCTATTTCGGGCGAGGTTTTAGCAGTTTTGTTCTGAACTTCTCTGATAAGGATTAAAGGCAATTTTTATTGCCTACAGGGGTAAAGGAAAAGCGCATGCGAACGCCGTGGACGCGAATCAAACGTTCGAGGTGCAAGCGCAGCCGCAACAGGAGCAGCAAAAGGCGCCTCAACAATCAAGGTGGCAACAGCAGACCCCGAAGCCAAAAGCCTCGGAGCCAAAGTTCCCAAAAGTCTATTCATTCAGAGAGGATGAAGTTCCCGATATCTTCAAATACCTTATTGAGAATAACAAGATCAAACTGCCTCCAATTCAGGATCAGGAAGATGCCAAGAGAATCAATGATCCGAAATACTGCGCATTTCATAGAGCGGTGCACCATCCTACCAAGGTATGCTATGCTCTTAAGGACAAGATCCAAGCTCTCATCGATGTAGGGGTCATCACCATGAAGCAGCCGAAAGAGAAGAGAGTGGGAGCAAATGCAGTATCGATCAGCTTCGGTTTTGTTCCCTTAAACTGGTTCCAACATGAGCCAGTAATAAATGCAAAAGTGAAGACGGTGAACGATGATCCTCACAAGCAGCGCCAGAAAGGACTTGTGCCGTACACAGCCCCGAATGGTGAGATTCTCTGGGTTCACCCAGATTTGATTGGAGATGAACAATGGACTGGATCCTCGTCCAAGAAAAAGTCAAAAGGTAAATCTTGTCATGGAACTTCTGCTATTCCAGGGGAAGATGACGAAGCAATGCCTGCTTTCTCATTTTCCGACAATGAACATGGGAATGAGTATCGTCGACTGAATGGGGTGGAGATGATTACAACTACCCCCGCACCTGCTGAGAGGACCCAACAGGAGCCCCTGCACCAAGACGTTCAAAACCCGAGGCAGTCTCGATTCAATCAGCGGATTGGAAGAGATAAACCGGGAGATTCAAACATTTCATACCACTTCGATGTTATGACTCAATTGGCTAACATCCCAGTAAAAGTGACTCTACACGAGTTATCACGTCTCTCTAAAAACACTAGGGATGCGTTCAACATTACTCCTGACCAGCTCACTCAAATAGTTCAAGAAGCATTGATCAAGCAGAAAGAAGAATTTGAGGGTAAGATGGAATTGGCTATGCGACAAATAAGAGAGTTGCAAGCTGAAAGGTGTAAATGTCCTAAATCGGATCATCAAGCTGGGTCTAGCTGTTGTGTTACCCCAATCACGCCTACTCCAGATAGGACAAATAACAATGGTCCAAATTTGAATATGGTTGTCAAGACTGATTCACCCCTCGATAACACTGGGGGTGGTACGACCAGATCCTTCAATGACACTGGGGGTGGCCCAATTCCTACTTCTCGACCTCATGAAAATGAAGGCGAAAAGCAGAAGGAAGTCGAATCTGTCACCACCGCGACTAGACGCTATCCTAAAAGAAAGAGGGTCGAGGAAAGCCAATCAGATTTCGTACCCAGATTCGCTGCTGATCAGACGTCACAACGACAGTCATGGGAGCGATCGCCATAATAGTCACTTCAGATACAACGATACTCTTTCAAGGATGATGAGGTTCCAACCATCCTCAAGTACCTCCTAAGGAACGACAAAATCAAGCTCCCACCTATTAAAAGCCAGGAGGAAGCCAGCGGGAGTTCAGACCCAAAATATTGTGAATACCACAGGAGGATCCATCATCCCACCAAGACTTGTATCACTCTCAAGAATACAATACAGGCCTTAGTTGAAGCCGGCGTCTCAACGGCAGAACAAACCGAATGAGAATGACCACCACACTCCGACAAGTATACGAGTATAAACTGCTTCTTTCAAAACTCCAACGGGTATATGAGTATAAACTGTTTCCTTTGTATCTAACGGGAAGTTCCTGGAGAATATCATACGTGATATTCTTAAGGATAACCCGATATCAATTGCTTATTGAATCAGTCTCTTGAAGTTTTGATAGAATATAAAATTTTTCCTCTTTAGCACCAGGAGATAGAATATAAAATTCTTCCTCTTTAGCACCAGGAGATAGAATATAAAATTCTTCCTCTCCCGTTTCCTTTCCAGTTGAAGATAGAATATAAAATTCTTCCTCTTCAGCACCGGGAGATAGAATATAAAATTCTTCCTCTCCCGTTTCTCAGTCTGTCTTTGCTTTTAGAAAAGACACGATTCTCAATCCGGGCACTCGATGCACGGGGAATTTCATCCCGAAGCCTAAGTAGGGATAAGTCAACGCCTAACACGCGTTGCCGGGTAGTCTATTCCCGTGAGAAAGACGAAGCCTATGTATTCAAAATCATAGCACAAAGCCTCAGAGAATTTACTCTCTTAGCACAACGTTACATGTGAGACGGGTTTAATAATTCACATGCTAGTCCGATTTCAAACGGTAATCGGTAAAGACATATCAAACCCGTTGAGGGCTGGGGGTTTGCCAAAAATCCCATAAATCTGTCATTCAGAATAAATACAGAAAAAAATCACAAGAAAGAAGTAAATGCGGAGTTTCTATTAATAGACCGAGTCAAAAGCATACAACAAGAAGCTCGTTAGCCCGAAGGCAGCTGGCGGCTGAGAATATGAGACTTTAAGCTAAAAAGTCTATCTACATAACTCCGCTCAAGTCCCGCCTGCAGATCAGCTCGGGCAGATTCCTCAGAATTGCTTAGAATCTCTGCGGCTTCACTCTTCAGCTTCATCAGTCTCTCCTGGGTGGATCTGAGCTCCTCGAGTACCTGTTCACGAGAACGCTCTAGTCCAGCCAGGTCATCTACAATAAGAGCAGTAGATTCCTCAACGCACTTCAAGGCCTCTTTCAACCTAGTCGTTTCCTCGCGATTCGGGTCCAAAGAACGGAGTAACTCAGCTCTCTCTGTATCTTTCCTCGCCACGTTAGCCATTAGCTGTGCAATGGAGCTCTCATGTGACTGAAGCTCGCATCCGATAGAAGATTTCAGGTCACGCCACTGTGCCATCCTAAGCTCCAACTGAGAGGACACGAAAGAAGAAGCCCCGGTAACCTCCAACTCCTTCAACTCTCGGATCTCTGACTCCAGGGCAGCGAAATCAGCAGTGAAGGAATCAGCCAACTCCGGGTATCCTTCTTCCCTCATCATCATCATGTGGCGAGAAAAGGAACGCCTGAACTGATCGAAGCCGCCTCCTCTATGAAGAAGTTTCTCGATCAGGCCGTTATAAAAGGCAGTGAAGAAGCTGAGGTCCGTACGAAAAGCCTCTCTGTCAGGATCAGTATCGACCAAAAGGGCGCGGACACGCTCGTATAGGGAAGATCGAGATCCTACAAGCAACAACATAGAAGTTCAGCGGATTATCGAATACGATAAGGAAATTCAAAAGGCAAGTTCTGAGCATACCAACGCCAACGGACGTCCCCTCAGGCTGAGGTCCGACAGGCTCTGAGACAGCAACAGAAGAGGGTATATCAACCCCTGCAGGCGGATTGCTCATATCACTCGGCAAGGACGGAGAGACGTCACTTCTATGCAGATTTTCAGCCCCGGGAACTGTAGTAGTATCAGGCACAACGGCCGGTCCCCGGTGGCTGGTCCTATGATTGCACTCATATATTAGTCAACAGTCAGATGAACATAGAGAAGTACGATATCCCTAAATCGTATGCGTACCTGCGAGTCCGTCACTCCGAGGCAAGCTAGATATGCCAGGAATCGATATTGGGCTAATCCCAATGGTTGGCGCTGTAATATTAATCCTTCGTTAGCCAGATAAAAGATCAGGCAAGATGAAGGGAATCAGATATATACCGGTGGATGAATCATTCCCAAAGAATGGTCTCTCGGTTCCTCTGGAGGTCTGCTCAGCCAGCATGTCAGCTAATAAGCCAGCATCGGGCTTCGAGAAGCTTGGCCTTTCCATCGCGACATCTGCAGGATAACTTGAATGTTGGAAGATGAGGAAAGCTCAAAAAATACTTGCAGCAAAAACAGAAGATCTTCCTTCCCCATGATTGAGGAGGGTATCATTGGATGTAGATATACCTGAATACGGGACGGTGGACTCAACACTATTCACTTGCCCAAGATCAATGTTTAGATCGATGCCCAGAGACCCGTCATGAAGGGCGTCGCACATCTGCTGCATAAAGCAATCCATGTTATCAGATCCAGGAGATACCGGACCCGGTGGGAGTTCGCCCTCTTCGAAGAACCCTGGAGCATGAAAACGTGGTTACGAATCCTAAAAGGTAAATCACCTTAAAGCAATAAAATGTTACCTTCCCCTCCATCAGCGGTGCTTCCTAAGTCCACTCCATAAGGACGCTGACCGTCGTGGGGCTTATGTGCGGTCTTCTTCCTCTTCGGGGCACCAACCCGCCTAGGACCGACGAGTCGATCATGCACAGGCTTGTCACACGTTTCAGCGCGTGTAAAAGCTGGCGGCTCATGATCGTCAACTGTCCTACCTAAAGTGACAATGGTCAAACAAGAGCTATCATTTATACCAATTAGAATGGAGAAGGAAAATCAAAGAAGCAGGACAAACCGGTATCGAATTCTCCTCTGTCGGTATCTGCATCCACATATTCTTCCTCGGAGGTATCGTCGTCGTCACCCGCAGGAAAGAGCTCTTCATCATCTGTGAGAAGAGATTTGGCATGCCCCTTTCCCCGCTTCTGAGCAAGCTCAGCCCTACGACCAGCCATCATAGCAGCCCGGACTGAGTACTCGGACTGTAACTCTGAGAGACTCCTCACGCTAATGGATTCATAGGCGGAAAGGAACCACTTGCAGCTGAGGAAAGTGGTCAGCGGCTTACGCCTATATGAA